ACAACAGCAAGCTGAGATCTGTTTGACAGTCTCCCGTGGCGGCCGAAGGGTAATGAGGTGGGAAGTGTCGGCAGCGGTGAGGGAGGCGCACTGGATGGGAAGAGGCCCTTGGGCATTTAGCTACTCGTTGCAATCGGCTTCGCATGCAAGACGTGTGTTTATTTCCGTTTTTCATGAGTTGACCATACCGCGTTGCTGCCTGGGGAGCGCAAATGAGAAGTAGTTCTTTGTGCATCTACCAGCCACCCTAAGATTTCAACAGTGGTCAAAGACTAGGAACACCACATACTCCTTCCTTGGGGGGTCTTGCGCTCGCGATTGTGACTGATCCGATCGTGAGCCAGCAGTCGCTTTTCCGTGTGCGCCCATTCGAGGGTGGCCGTTGCCAGGTCCAGACACTCAGGACCGTTCCAGAGTGTTGCATTCCCCAGTGTACTCCGTGTGTGCCTTCTCGAGAATGGTGCGAGCCACTTGTCTGAAAAAGTCTGTGATTTGTCGGCGCTCAGTTGAAAATCTGGTTTTAACATTGCATCTCCGAATTTCAGATGGTGCCCTATCGGAAACGAAGCGTTCTTATTGTGTCTGCGATGCTATCCTACCAGTAGAGCAGGGTTCCTACTGTGTCTCCAATGGCTTCCTACGACGAACGCTGTGTGTTTGTATGTTTTTTCGGATGACGCCCCATCGGAAACGCTGCTGTGGTGGCAGATCCAGATCCCCACTCCGATGCCCCCCACCGTATGGAATGCAGAGGTCGGCGGAACGTGCCCGAAAGCTGTTTTTTTCATATTCAGAAATGGGAGGCTCGTGGTCTCTCGGGTCCCCGTGAAAGACGGGCCGCTCCTAAAAGTGCTTCTCTTCGGAAACATTGTGTCCTCTGTGTGGTTCGAATGAGCGCTCTATCGGAAGGTTTTGTTTCGGGCAGGAAGATAAAAAGTTTCCAATGGTTCAACATTATGCTCTTCGTTTTTCTTTTGATTGCACTCCATCGGGAGCGAGAGCGTTGTGTTTTCGTGTTAGCGGTTGTGCTCCAAGTGGTGAGTCATCGGGAACCCTGCGTTTCCATGAACAGCGAAAGCGATAGCGGTCACACTTGCACAGCATGATACTATTTTTTCCAATGCGACACATGTGCCGCCCGCGTGGCGAGTCGTGCCGTGCCGTGCCGACAGTGTAGAGTGCGGAAAAAATGTGCCGCCAGCATGCCGTGCCGTGCCGTGCCTTGCCTACTCTGTAGAAGGCGAGCAAACGTGCCGCCTGCGTGCGCCGTGCCTTGCCGTGACGTGCTGTGCCCGAGTTCTAGACTGCGACAGATGTGCCGCCCGCGTGCCCTGCCGTGCCATGCTCCGTGTGTGCGTGCCGGCGGCGCAGGGCCCTTGTCGTGGCCCGCGTGCCGTGCCACGCCGTGTCCGTGCCGTGCCGTGTGTGCAGTGCCACGCGGGACTCTTAGCTCCGATTGCGTTTAAGGTCTTTGTGCACCAGGTGTTTTTTTTGTGGCGTCGGGTCCTTCTTTTGATGAGACAGTTCCCGTGTCTCCTCCTCCTCCTCCTCCACTTCTCCTCCTGCTGTCCTCTCCCCTCTCCTGCTCCCACCTCCCTTATGGCATGGGGCGAACTTGAGGCGCTTTTGCGACTCTTCGTCGCCTAGCAATATAGCAGAGACCGGTGCGCAGGTGCATAGAGCGCAACCGCCGCATTCTTCAACGGAGTGATGGGAGGGATGCAGAGGAAGTGCCATTCGGCGGGGTACCCTACTCTGGCTACATAGTCGAACTGAGCGATTTCCATAATCACATTCTGTATCTTCGTAGTCTGCAGGGATGCCGTCAAGTGTCGCGCGCATCCGTGAGCACAGGGGCAGTGGGCGAACAACCAGATGCAGGGCAGAGGCCTCTTCAGGTGGCCGGACGGCAGGCAGTACCAGGCGGGGTGCCCCGCTTTCAAGTCGTTCGAGTGGAACCTTGTGGTTCCAGCCCGTGTTGTGTGTTGCTTTTTTCATATCATGGTTATTTGGTAATGTTGCATCCCAGGTCACCTCCTTCAGCTGCTCTCCGCTTGACGCAAGACTCGGAACTCGGCCCGGTCGGACGCAGTCGGTGAACAAGCGAAGCTTCGCTGACGCCTCGTGTGCAGCATACGGTGGCGGCGGTGTGGAAGACCGCGGAATTGGACTGACGCCCCCCGAGGTGTCGTAGGCTCCTTCACACAGGCAAAGACATTTTTTTTGGGTTTATGACCTCATGTAGTTCCTTAACATTGGTAGGATACTCAAGCTCTGTTAGAGTTCTCCTCGTTCCTACGTAGCTGTCCCTCCAGGGGGTGCATATGGACAACTTTTCAGCTTTTGCGCCAGGGGCACGTCAGGACGTCTGTGCTGACTCGCGCATGCGCAACTTCTGAGCGCACGGCGAGGGCAGCACCTCGATACACGGCGACTCCTTCTGGCTCTGCATGCGTGCATGCTCGCACACTTTCGTGCATGCGCTCGAGCAGGCATACACCTTAGGCGATGCTTAAGAAAACCTAAGTTTTCGGCCAGAGTCTCGATTATTCTTAACGTTTCGATGTAAATCTTACGATTTTGATAGAAATGTTGGGTTTTTATTCAAGTTCTGAGACCATGAATTTCTTAACCCATGATTTCTTAACCATTTCGCGTGGTGTATGCTGCACATTTCTTTCCTAAGTGACATCGGACGTGTGTTCCCGCTCGGCTGCGGAAGGTCGCAAATGGGGGGGCAGAGTCGTCCGTCGCCAGCGGCCGGTCGAGAGGCGTGCGCGCGGCAGAGACCAGACACTGCAGAGCATTCGCAGGAGCGAATTGCTGGGCAAAGACAGACAGACGCACACGCAGATGCTCGCAGGTGCGTATCTGTGACATTTCTACGCTCCCTCGCGGCGGCGCGCCCGCGCCCTTGTGACCCTGCAACGTGTAGTGGTGCGCGATGGTGCGTCCGCTCGGCTCTGCATGTCTTCTGACCTCAGCGCACGGCCATCAAGGCTGAAGAGTGCGGATGAGGTGCAGGAGGAGGACGTCTGAGGTAGGAGAGAAGGAGGAGGAGGAGGAGGAGGAGGAGGAGGAGGAGGAGGAGGAGGAGGAGGAGGAGGAGGAGGAGGAGGAGGAGCATGACTAGGAGAAGGGGCAGGAGGAAGGGGGGATAGGAGGAGGCACGCAACACCTGCGGCGACGCCTGCCACGTAGGCGTGGCTGGTCCAAGAGAGAGAGAGAAATATATATATATATAGAGAGAGAGAGAGAGAGAGAGAGAGAGAGAGAGAGCGAGAGAGAAACTAGCATCGCCTACATTTCCAAAACTGTGAGAAGGCATATCACTGTTGCAGAGAAACGAGGAGTTGAGAGGCAAAGTCGTGCTCGCAGAACCAAAAGACGGCCCAAGAGGTCCCCGACCGAGACGGGGAGAAATGGAGTGCGACCACAGCTCCGAGGGTCGTCACTGGACCCTCTCCCCGAGAGCGGCTTCCCGTCCTTAGTGTGCAGGCCCGGACGCACACGCCGGCTGTTGCGCAACTGGTTCAACTGCGAGGTCGGAGGACACAGAGGATACGGAGGCTGGAGGATAACGAATACAGCCTCCAAGCGAGTACGTAACGCACCGTTCACGACAAAGCGCCCTGCTGTTGTGAATCACGCGGTGTCCCAGGGCAGTGAAAGCCCCGAGCGCCGCATGCGAGGAGGGCATGAGGCAGAAACCGCCAAGCTTGCCAGCGCTGAGGGCCAAGGAAGAGGGAATGGCCCACACCGGCAGGCGGAGCATGCAGCGATCGTGTGCGCTGAGCCTCATCCGTCACCCACGTGGTGCGGATTCCGCGGACCAAATGATCCCGGAGAGACTTAGCCAGGCCGCCGCGAGTGGCCACCGAGCATTTGCCCAGCTGGTACGCTCAGAAAGCCGCTGGGCGAGCACGAGCCAAGCCCGATACAGGCAATCAAGGCCTGTTTGCGTCCCAAACCCAGGTGCAAAAACGAGCAACAAGAGGCACACGTCATGCAGCGCAGCCGTGCGAAGGAAGGGCTCCGCAGCCGAGTGTCCGTCACACCAAAATATCGGTACCATGCGATAGAGCGGGGGAGAGTCCTGTCCGTCAAAATTTGGCTGCGCGCCGCCCAGCTGCATGCCTCAATGCGGCGGCGATGATGATGATGATGATGATGATGATGATGATGATGATGATGATGATGATGATGATGATGATGATGATGATGATGATGATGATGATGATGATGATGATGATGATGATGATGATGATGATGATGATGGGATGATGGAGGAGGAGGAGGAGGAGGAGGAGGAGAAGCAAAAAGAGGAGGAGGAGAAGGAGGAGGAGGAAGATGAGGAGAAGAAGTAGGAGGAAGCGCAGGAAGAAAGAATGACGAGGAGAAGGAGCAGAAGGAGCAGGAGGAACGGACGATGAGGACGAGAAGGACGAGGAGGAGCTATGAGGTACTTCGACTAGAGGGCGACGCGGTTGGCATGCCCCCAAGCGCCCCGCTCGAGGAGCAGGCGGAGGAGGATAAGGAGGAGGAGGAGGAGCAGGAGGAGGAGGAGAAAGAGGAGGATGAAGAGGAGGTGGAGGAGGAAGAGAGGAATACGAGGGAGGAGAACGAGCAGGAACCGCAGGAGGAGAGGACGACGAGGAAAAGGAGCAGGTGATGCAGAAACAGCAGGAGGAAAGGCCGATGAGGACGAGAAGGACGAGGAGGAGCTACGAGGACCGTCGACTGAGGGGCGACGCGGTTGGCATGCCCCCCAAAGCCCCGCTCGAGGAGCAGGCGGAGGAAGAGGATGATTATGATGATGATGACGATGATGATGAGGATGATGATGATGCTGATGCTGATGATGATGATGCTGATGATGAGGATGATGCCGATGATGATGCTGATGCTGATGATGACGATGATGGTGGTGATGATGATGATGATGCTAATGATGATGATGATGATGATGATGATGATGATGATGATGATGATGATGATGATGATGATGATGATGACGATGCTGATGATGACGATGATGCTGATTATGATTCTGATGATGATGATGAGGAGGAGGAAGAGGAGGATGAGGAGGAGGAAGAGGAGGAGGAGGAGGAGGAGGGGGCGGAGGAGGAGGAGAAGGACAGAGGAGACACATGAGAAGGTGGAGGAGGAGGAGTAAAGGCGAGGAGGAGGAAGAGCAGGATGATGATGATAATGATGATGATGCTGATGATGATGATGATGATGCTGATGATGATGGTGATGATGATGATGCTGCTGATGATGATGATGCAGATGATGATGCTGCTGGTGGTGGTGATGATGATGATGCTGGTGATGCTGATGATGATGAGGATGATGATGCTGATGATGCTCATGATGATGACGATGATGAGGATGATGATGATGTTGAGAATGCTGGTGCTGATGATGCTGATGATGAGGATGATGATGATGATGATGCTGATGCTGCTGCTGATGATGCTGATGATGATGACTCATGATGATGCTGATGATGATGATGATGATGATGATGGTGATGATGATAAAGATGACGATGATGAAGATGACGATGCTGATGATGATGATGATGATGATGATGATGATGATGATGCTGATGATGATGCTGATGCTGATGATGATGATGATGATGATGATGATGATGAGATGATGATGATGATGATGATGATGATGATGAGAGGAAGGAGGAGGAGGAGGAGGAGGAGGAGAGGAGGAGGAGAGGAGGAGGAGGAGGGGAGAGGAGAGGGAGGAGGAGGAGGAGGAGGAGGAGGAGGAGGAGTTGGAGGAGGAGGAGGAGGAGGAAGAGGAATTATAGTTGGTAACGGAGAAGGAGGATGATAAGCCACAGCAGAAAAAGAAGGGAGGGGGAGGAGGAGGAGGAGGAGGAAGAGGAGGAGGAGGGAGGAGGAGGAGGAGGAGGAGGAGGAGGAGGAGGAGGAGGAGGAAGTGTAAACATATGCCTCCCCGCGCCTGCAGGAGTCGCAAGTGATGCGTGGCATTTGTGCAGGGGCTGTGTCAGACACCAGTATAGCAGACCTGTTCTGCTACAGTGGTGCATGTTAGTTGTGGGCCCCAGCTGTTTGGCTCAAGCTGTTTGGCTCAAGCGTTGTTCCCCCCAGGGGGAAAATGGCTCCGATCATATTTTCGTGGTAGCGGAGCCCGTGGTTCGCCCCACGGATTCCAAAGCGCGCGGTTAACTCCGCGAAGCAGCCGCCTCCTTGCGATGGCCGCGGCGGCAGCCGCGACGGTCCCGCCGAATCTTGGCTAGAGCTGACCCAGGCTTCGACGTGACGTTATCCGAGGTCCGAGAGGCATGGTAGAGCCTGCTCGCGAACCGATTCGCGGAATTGTGCAATGCGGGCTAGGAGAAAAAAGGAAGCTTCATGTCAATGTACGTTAGCATGGCACCCAAGGCCAACCATGAAGGGATGATAATTTCCTTCGAACGCAGCGCTTCGCTAGGCAACGCAATCGTGGGCAGAGACGCGGCGTTCACAATGCTGCAGTTGACCTGCAGGATGAACGCCCTTAGGGTATCAGCTATCAGCCGCAACATGTACTGCGATAACAGTTTATCAGCCTGAAAGAACACGTGAGGACGGAACGCCAACGTCAAGCGAACGCCCTATGGGCATGCTGCCAAGGTCGCGGTGGCCATGCGGTCGGCTGGAAACACCAGGGCCGGACGAGGTGGAAGCAAGCCCGTGAGCGAGTAAAAGGCGGTTCAGCCTTTAGGACGTTCTCGGGCGACCATTTCAAATTCAGGGAATGGAGCGAAACGTTGTTGAATGCGTTTGCCCAAGTAAAGCATGGTTACCGGAAAGCCATGCAATATCTGAGCAATAAGCTCGAAGCCATGCGTGGGGCATTGCCAGACGACGAAGAGGATCTGATAAGTAATC